CTCTGAGGTACCACCCCACACCTACCAGATTGGCTAATATGACAAAAAAGGAAAATTATGAATGTTGGAGAAGATGTGGGAAAATTGGAACATTAATGTATTGTTGGTGGAGTTGTGAACATCCAACCATTCTGGAGAGCAATTTGGAATTATGCCCAAAGGGCTATAAAAATGTGCATATCCTTTGACCCAGCAATATCACTTTTAGGTCTGTATCTGAAAGAGATCATACAAATGGGAAAAGGACCCACATGTACAAAAATATTTGTGGCAACTCTTCTTGTAGTGGCCAAGAACTGGAATTTGAGGGGATGCCCATCAATTGGGGAGTGGCTGAACAAGTTGTGGTATATGAATGTAATGGAATACTATTGTGCTATAAGAAATGATGAGCAGGCAGACTTCAGAAAAACCTGGAAAAACTTATATGAACTGATGCTGAGTGAAGTGAGCAGAACCAGGAGTACATTGCACATGGTAACAGCCACATTATGCAATGACTAACTTTGACAGACTTAGTTGTTCTCAGCAATACAAGGATCTAAGACAACTTTAAAAGATTCATGATGGAAAATGCTATCCACATTCAGAGAAAGAACTATGGAGTCTGAATGGAGATTGAAGCATACTATTTTCTTTCTCTCTCTCTCTTTTTTTTTCTTTCTCGTGGTTTTCCCATTTTGTTCTGATTCTTCTTTCACAACATGACTAATGTGGAAATATGTTTAATACAATTGTATATGTATAGTCTGTATCAGATTGCATGTTGTCTTGGAGAGGGAGGGAGGGAAGGAGGGAAGAAGAAAAGAATTTGGAACTCAAAATCCTATGAAAGTGAATAAAAATTTAAAACAAAAAAAATTACTATGCAAACACAAAAAAGTTACTTGTTTTTATGGTATTGTTGTTATTGTATAATTTGTTTTTTATGCAAGTTTTCTGTGGGTTTTCTAAAACCACATCCCTTCTTTATTGACATATTGATTCTATAGCATTCACATATATGTATATATAAATATACATACACAAATATATGTATATATGTGCATGTATAATTACTTATGCAGCCACCCTACAATCGATAGGGAATACTTCAGTTTCTAATTCTTTGCCATGACAAAAAGAGCTGCTATACATTTTTTTTGTCTGCATATGTGGGTCCATTTCATTTTTCTTTGATCTCTTTGGGGTAAAGACTTAGCAGTAGTATAAAAATATGCACAGTTTAATACATTTTGGGGCACAGTTCAAATTGCTTTCCAGAAAGGTTAAACCACTTCAAATCTCTACCAACACTGCATTTGATGTACTGATTTTCCCATAGCCCTTTCAGCATTTCTCATTTTCCTTTTTTGTCAAGTTTGACAATCTTTTAAGTATGAAGTGGTACCTCAAAGTTATTTTTAATTTGCTTTCCTCTATTAGGGACTTAAAACATTTTTTGATATGGCTAATGATAACTTGGATTTTTTTCTTCTGAAAAAGGCCTATTCATATCCATTGACCATTTATCAATTAGGCAATGGCTCTTTTTTTTTTTGGCAATTGGGGTTAAGTGACTTGCCCAGGGTCACACAGCTAGTAAGTGTCAAGTGTTTGATCTGAGGCTGGATTTGAACTCAGGTCCTCCTGACTTCAGAGCCAGCACTCTATCCACTGTGCCACCTAGCTGCCCCTAGGCAATGGTTCTTTTACCCTATATATCTTAGAAATGAGATCTTCATCAGAGAAACTTCCTGCAAAGAATTTTTCTCCAATTTCTCACTCCTAATTTTAGTGGCATTGTTTTTGCTATGCAAAATCTTTTTAATTTTACATAATCAAAATTGTCCATTTAAATGCCTATGAACTTTTCTATCTCTTGTTTGGTCAAATCTAGCCATAGATCTAACAGGTAATTTCTTCCATGTTCTTCTAATTTCTTTATAATGTGACCTTTTATGTTTAAACCATTTTCCCATGTAGAGCCTCTCTTAGTATATGTTGTGAGATGATGGTTGATACCTAGTTCCTGCTAGACCTCATTCTAGTTTTCCCAACAGTTTTTGTCTAATAGTGAGTCCTTGCCCCAACAAATGGAATATTTGGGTTTATCAAATATGAGGCTCCTGGGTTAATTTGCTTTTGTATATAATTTAACTAGTCTGTTCCACTGATCAACTTAAATATTTCTTACCCTCTACCAAACTATTTTTAACTATTATAGCTAGGTGGTATGGTTTAAGATATGGTGCTGCCAGGTTCTGTTCCTTCTGATTTTTAAAAAATTAATTCCCTTAATATTCTTGACTTTTTACTGCTCCTAATGAATTTTCTAATTTTTTTTATCTAACACACTAAAAAAAATCCTTAGGTAGTTTGATTGTTATGGCATCGAGTAGGTAAGTTGATTTAGGTAGTATTGTCAATTTTACTTTATGCACTTAGCCTACCCATAAGCAATTAATATTTCTATAATTGTTTAGATCTGTCTTTTATGTGTAAAGTGTTTAGAGTTTTGTAAGTAAACCATTCTATCATCTGCAATAAGTGATAATTTTGCTTTCTCTTTGCCCTATTGTTCAATTTATTTTTTTCTTATAGCTATAGCCAGCATTTCTAGCACATATTGAATAGGAATAGTGATAATGGACAAGCTTGCTTTACCCCTGATCTTACTGGAAAGGCTTATTTCCATAATAACGCTTAGTTTTAGATAACATTATTTAACATTTTAAGGAAAGCTCAATGTATTCCTATGCTCTCTACTGGTTTTTTTTTTTAAACAAGAAGAGTATTCTATGTGACCATATCTGTGTCACAGAAGGAACTTGGTAGGACTTCTCTTTTGCCTATTTTCCAAAAAAGTTTATGTAGCATTGGAATTATCACATATTAATTATAATTACTCCATATGATAGTATGTATTCAAATAAATATATAAATATAATTAATTATATTAGTTACTATAATTATAATGAGCTATTCTTTAGATGTTTGCTAGAATTTACCTGTAAATAAATTTGGACCTAGGGATCTCTTCTTTCAAAGTTCATTTATGACTTGTTCAATTTATTTTTCTAAGATAGAGTTATTTACATAGATAATTTGGGCAGTTTATATTATTGTAAATACTCATCCATTTTATTTAGGCTACAAGTTTTATAGGCAGAGAGTTCAGCAAAATAGCCCAACAAAGTAGTTCTTAATGATTTTTTTCTTCATTGGTTGTGAATTCAACTTTTTCATTTTTAATAATGGTAATTTGATTTATTTTTAAACAAAATTCACTAATGGCTACTTATGTTATTGGTTTTTTTCTTCAAAAATAGCTCCTAGTTTACTCATTAATTCAATCTTCTTTGTTGCTCTCAATTATGTTAATCTCTCCTCTGATTTTTCAGGATTTCTGTTTTGAGTTATTTTCATCTGTTAGTTTTCCAGTTTTTTAGTTGCATGGCCAGTTCACTTACATGCTGTTTCTTAAGTGATAGGGTAAGATTGGTGATTTGAGTTTAACACAGAAGGATTTTAATAAACAGTGTAGAACATGCTAATGAACTTACAAGAGGTGAATTAAAAGCAATAGATATAAGTGAGGTCCCAAATGAGAGTAGGATCAATTTGTAGAAATTTCCTCACAACAATATGGGAAGTAAATCATACAACTGTATTGAGATGACTGGTTAATGAGGGCCCAGTCTTTAGAGCATGCTTGGATTTGCCCTTTCTAGTTGATCATACAGAATGTGTACAGATATTTCAATCTACTCATTGGTCCATGAGTATTTGAGGAACTAGTATTATATGATGATGAAAAGCCTTCAAATTGACTTCAGAGATGGAAAGATCTAAAAGAGGCTAAGCTAGAACTGTGGGTACATACAAAAGATTTGGACAGATAATTTCTTGTTCTCTTCTCTGACAGTTTTCAAGTAAGGAGAGCTGATTTGAGTTTCTTGAGGAGGTGGGGAGATTGGAAGAGATGTCCAGTTCCTCAAACTGGCTGTTTATTTTGTGTTTATTCTCTTTTTTTAAGTGAGTAGTTATACTGAAATAGGAGTACCCAGGCACAGTGAGTTTAGAAAAATCATCAAAACCACCAGAAGTTCCATTGGCAACTGGAGTCAATAGGAGAATCCATAGGAGAGGGAGTGGTCACTGACAGAAGTGCCTGAAAATGGTGGTACAAAGACAATCCTGAGAGGACTGTGGAAGCTTCAGGGATCATCCCTTGTGACATAGATAAATACTGTTCATGGACTTTAGAAAGGCACCAATCTTTGGAGCCCAGTGAAGAGCTACAATTAAGAAAAACTTTATAATAGATTTCCACAAAGACAGAAAGAGATTTCATCCGTTTGTCCTCATGGCCTCACATGTTCCTGAAAAATGTTCTTCACTTCCACTGTATTTTAAATTTGAACCAACAATCTCCAGCCATCTTCTGGGTAGAAGGGGAGAGTGTGCCCATGGACTAGGGAGGAGGGAGGAATTTTGTAACTACTGTTTTTACTATATTCCCAATATATATCCCCTTAGTAAAAGTGGCTGATTTAGGGGCCACATAGGATGGGGATTCAGGAGCTATAGCACTATAAGCCACAACCCTTTACAGTTATCCTAAAACCCTGAGGAAAATAGATTTATTTCCTCTGTGATCCTAACATGACAGTGTAGTGCAAGTTGGACTAGTGACCCCAGAAGAGATGCTATACAACTATTACTATACATTTTGGCTCTTTGGCTTTCTCCAGAAATTCTCTGAAATTCAAGAGCAAAAAATAAAAAAAGTTGTCCATAAGGGTGATTTAAAATTGGTAAAAGGCACAATGTAAGAAGATTAAGGCAATAGCGAAAGCCATCTTATTGAAATTAGGCAAAAGGGAAGGATTTTTTAAAGTAGAAAATTATGATTCTTTGCAAAATAGTTTTCTCATAAAGAAATCTGCTAAATGTCAATAAGAACTAAGCATCAAAAAGAAAACATGCACATAAACCATCACTTATTTTGAACTTACCTTTGCAAACTTTGCAGCAGCTATGAGGTAAAGTAATATGATGGGAATCTGGACAATTCAAGGGCTGGCAAACTGAATTCTCAACAAACTTCATTGTTTTGTCCTGTCAGACAAAAATTTCATTATACAAGAGCAATTAATATTTCAGAATTCTTATTTATTGTTGACTATGAGAGTTCTGGAATATGGTTGACTCTGGACTTGTTGCAATAAGCCATAATGGTCTCTGCTTAACTTGAATTACTAAACTCGCTCCTTCCTGTTTCATTGGCACAGTCTCTTGGCAAAAATTACACAAAGTCACAACTGTCAGGTTGTGATCCAATCTGCAACACTGAGAATGAGAAAAGATATTTATGCTTTATTCAATTAATGTTCAAACTAACAGACTCAGAAGTAGTTTTTATCACATTGCATTTTATAGGTATAAATAATCAAATACCCAGTAATATTAAAAGTGTATTATAAAATTTAAAGAAATAAATATTCCATTTGTACAAACCATAACTGGGACCAGATATTAGATGCTACTGCTCTATATCCAAATTCTCCTTCCTTAGAGCCATTTAAATAAATGGCCAGATTTTCTGGTTGAGGTTCATGTTTGAACATGAGTAGTGAGGGCCACAACATTAATAATACATATATATATATAGATACCTAACATCAGAATTTTAAAATTCATTTTCTACGTAATTATAAATTTAGACATCTGGCAGTTGTAAGCCATTTAAAGACAAGAAGCACTTACTAGTCACTTATTAATTATACTGTAAAAACAGAAAGAAGTACAGTACATCAGAGACAGAAGATACTTAACAACTGTTGAATAAATTAATAAGTTAATGAATGAATATAGTCTGTCTAATAATATCAGGAACTCCCTAGAAGTAAGTAATGGCTTTTATATTATCTTGGAGTCAAAATCTACCCTTCCTTCAGTATTCACATAACTCCAAATCTGTTGGTCTCATCTTGAGAGTTACTATGTACTTGTACTAATATTAAAATTACAGCATAATAATACGTTTCTTCCTTAGTTCAAAGCAAAACAAAAAAAAAGATCCCAACCAAGAGAGAGTAAGGAAAACATCAGGGACTGATATAGGTAATCCCTAGGCAAAAAGGAAAATGACAGGTGGTGAAAAGTTGACAATAGTGGAGTTGTAGGACATAGAATGGAGAGAAATTAATCTGAAGAATTTAGCCGGGATCCAAATAGGTTCCATAAGAAAAAAAGCTTGGATTCCAAAAACAGCTTTGCTTCTCTAACTGTAATAAATTGCAGACACAATGAAGTAATGACTAAAATATAACAGTACTGAATTTAAGCAAACCCAATAAAATTGTAAACTTAAAAAAAACCAATTAGAATGGTGCAAATATTTGAACCACTTCTATAACCAATGCAAATTTAAATGTTCAGTCTATACTAGCCTACATTTATAGTGCTCCCCATATATATTAGTTAAATTAATCCTCACAAAAACCCTTGTGAATTGGATTCTATTGTTGTCCTACCCCTAGTTTACAGATAAGAAAACTGAAACTCGGAGAGGTTAAATGATTAGTTCAAAGACACAAATCTAGCTCTTTTCTGAGGCACGATTTCAATCTGACTTCAATCCAATGCCCTATTCACTATTCTAAGCTGCCTTTTGAGATCATATGTCAATATATTTGAACAGAGATCTAAATGAAAAAGTGTTGTTTCCCAGAATAAGCTACTTGACCAAGTTTTATAGTATTCCTAGAATAAGCTTCTCTTATGTATTTTCCACTTTAATAGTTTCTAGGTCTTACCATAAATTTTTTACTTTTTTATGCACAGTGGGAATGCAATGAAAAAAATTCTGGTTTATGATTTTTATTATAGGTAACTGGTATTATGATATAGGTTCTTCTGGGAAATTGTACAATTCACTTTAATTTTCTGTGGATCAGATCTCTTATGCTGAAAGTTAATTTAAAGGAGAAATAATTTTGTCCCTCTTGACCTAACCTCAACTTGAACTTCACATAGTTATAGAATGTAATCATGCATTATGAGGTTTTAATGTGTTAATAAGGTGTAACATTCTGTGACTGCTTTACAAAGTGAGAACACTTCTTTGGTTGAAGAAGTTTGAAGTTTGGCTGAGGAAACAAATTAGCTATGCCCCTAGGTGTTGTTATCTTTTCCTCTCTTTCTCCTTTCTTCTTTTATCTCTATGACCCTTAATGGCATTAGAGTTCTGAGAGGACAAGAGTTATCTCACTTTATTAGAATATAAATACTCCATCTTTTAATTTAGTCCCTTTTGATTGCTTTCTCATTTTTATTTACCTTTTTGCATTTTTCTTGACTTGTATTCTTGTATTTCAAAGTTTCTATTCAGCTCTGGTCTTTTCATCCAGAATGCTTAGAAGTCTTATTAAAGCTGTTTTCCATGAGTAAAGGCATACTTCCTTTTGCTCAGTAGTAAGCCTATATCTTTTCCCATTTGTAATAATTTATTCCAAGTTCTTCCTCCCTTTAAGGTGATAAGCTGCTAAATGTTGTGTGATTCCGACTCATTGCTTGATACTTGAGCTCTTCTTTTCTGGCTGCTTAAAGTTTTTTGTCTTTGACTTGGAAGCTTTCAATTTTGGTTATGACATTCATGGGAATTTTAATTTGGGAATTTCTTTTGGTAAGTGACCAGTGCATTCTATTTTCACTTTTCCTTCTGCTTCTAATGTATTCCAACACTTTTCCTTCATGATTATTTAAAATGTAGTATTCAATATCCCAAAGAGATCATAAAAATGGGAAAAGGATTCACATGTACAAAAATATTCATAGCAGCTGTTTTTGTGGTGGCAAAGAATTGGAAATTGAGAGGATGCCCGCCAATTGGGGAATGACTGAACAAGTTGTGGTATATTAATGTAATGGAATACTATTGTGGTATAAGAAATGATGAACAGGCTGACTTCACAAAAACCTGGAAAGACTTGTATGGTCTGACGCTGAGTGAAGTGAGCAGAACCAAGAGAACGTTGTACACAATAACAGCCTGTGATGACTGATATTGATAAGCTGAACCCTTCCCAGCAATACAAGGATCTAAGACATCTCCAGAGGCCTTGTGATGGAAAATGCTATCAACATCCAAGGAAAAAACTATGGAAGTTGAATTGCTATTTTTTTTCTCTTCTGTTGAGTTTTATTTCCTCTTTCTGATGGTTCCTCCTATTGGTTTTAATTTTTACTTACAACATCACTAATGTGAAAATATGTTTAATAGGAATGTAAATGTATAGCCTATATCAGATTATGTGCCATCTCGGGGAGGGGGAGAAAAATTTTAAACTCAAAAGCATATGGAAGTGATTATTGATAAACTAAAACAAATTAATAAAATATGTATATTAAAAAAGTACAAATAAAATCAAGTGTTCAGATTCATTTTTGGTCATGGCTTTAAGGTGGTCCAACAATTCTTAAAGTACCTCTCCTTAAGACATCCTTAAAATATCTCTCAGATAGATTGTTTTTGATATGTATTACTTTACCTTTTCTTCTATTTTTTTCCCCAGTGTTTTGACTCTCTTTTAATTGCTCTTGCTGTTTCATGGAGTCATTAACTTCTATATGGTCCATTATAATTTTCTGGAAGTTGGTTCCTTGGGCAAAATTTTATATCCCTGATACTAAACTATTCATTCTGCTTTCAGATCTTTCCTCCAAGTCCTGTTCCAGGTCTTTCCTCCAATGCTCTCATTTTTCTCCCAATTCATTTTTCTTGTACCTTAATTTAATTTATAACATCAATTTTAATTCTCTTTTTAAAAACTTTTTAAAAATCTCTTCTAGTAGTTCTGGTTGACTTTCTGGCTAAGCTTTACTTCTCTTTGAGGCTTTACTTGAATATATTATTTTCTTTTTATGGTTACATATCTTTAGCATCTTTGGACCAAAACAACTCTTTATGGTAGGAGCCTTTTTGGTTTATTAAGATCAAACTGAAAACCTATATTAAGATCAGACATTTCTGGAGGGAATCTCAAGGTCATATTTGGTCCTGATTTTTTATTTTTTGAGGCCAGGAGGTTGCTTTCTTAGGGTGCTAAGAACTGTGCTCTTCAAAGATCTTAGGAGTAGCACAAGAAGACAACTTGAAATCTTTCATTAGGTCTTAAGCAGTCTGATGTAGTTTACTCAAAAAGGAGACTAGACTGATCCCTCTGGGTTTGAGCTGTTCAAGCTACTAACCTTAGTCTAGGTTTGCCCTTGGTTAGAGTTCTGTTTGCTTACCGTCCCCAGCCCCTGTCAGCTAGATGGAAGTTTCTGCACTTTCAAAGAAAAAGAACTACAAGATACCCCTTGGTCTGAATGCCCTGCCCTGGTCACTGAGCTTCAGGCCTCAGACTGGGCTAGGAGCTGAATCCTGTACCTCATTCCAGGGTTTCTGCTTACCTTTATTCTTGTTCCTTGTCTAGTACTTTGACATAGGCTAGGTCCAACCTGTATCCATCCCTGCTCCATACCCTGGTCATCATCAATCCCTTCTTAATCCATGCTGTGTCTACAATCTAGCTCTGGGATTAGAATAACACAGCTGCTGACTGTCTCTGCTCCTGCTCCCACATAAAATTAGGCCTTCCTTTTCTGGGAACACAGCAGCAAGTCAGACCCATGCCTAGCCTCAGGTTTTCTCCTCAAGCCATGCTGCATTTGCAAGCTATGTCTGAGGTCAGAGTGAAAGAGTTACTCCCTACCCTTGAAATATGACTTTTCTCTTTGTATTTCCTGATCACTGATGGGGTATGGGCCCAAGCTGAGATCTTCTCCCCTTGCCCCAAAGGGAATCTGGCTCTATGGGTCCCAGCTCCTCATCTCCCTTTGAAAGCCCTACCCCTACCTTTTGATCTTATTCAGATGTGCCTTTGCCTTCAACCCTCGCCCTGAAAAGAATCTGGCTCCCATTTGTCTACAGGCTCCAGAAAACCCTTAAACTTCTCTTACTCTGGTCTCAAATGGTTCCTTATTGACTCCCCTTAACTCCCTTTGAAAGCCCTAGCCTCACTTTTTGATCTTTCAAGATGCCTTTCAAACTTCTTCCTTCCAGTTCCTCTCAT